TTTAAAAATACTAATGGGGCAAATAAAATTTCACAGTATAAAATGTTTAGGCAACTTTTTCTGTAAACTCCCATGAGGTTGGAATCAACATTTAAAGCTGATCTATTTTGTCACAGATATCTGAAAGCAGACTTTTTCCCGCCAAATTTGTAAATTATATTAAAGCCTAGACTAGGCACAATACAAAGCTTTGAAGCCCACGACTCTAATTGACACAATTTCAAAGATCAAAAACCTAACAAGAATTATACAAAAAAGATAAGGCTGAACAAATTAAATTTCAGACGTGTGTGTAACTTAAGAGTCAAGGGAAGAAGAAGCACCGCCGACATAGGATCGCCACGGGATGACGGAGACTGGAAATTCGACCAACAACAACAAACCAACACCGATGAAAGCAACAATTTCCAGTCATCAACGTCAAAGACCAGATGCCAGCATTTTTATCCGAAAAAACCAGCTTTGTGGTCAATTTTCTTTCACCGAGACAATAAATTGGGACCAAAACTGATATATTTGGGTGAAGATTCCAAAGCACAGCTATGCTAGATCTACTCCCAAAAAAAAAAAAGTTATGTCACAACACCATCCAATTTCCGGTAGAAAAACTTAACTCATATCCCAATTTAATGACTTCATGAAGGAAAAGTATGGATTACACTCTTTTGGGGAAAAACATGAATGAGACCAATCGATAGATTATTGACCAACATTTCTCGGAAACTTAAGAAAGAAGGAGAAAGCTTTGCTAAAACACAATAAAATCCGAAAAACTCAGAAGAAAAAGATAAGAATATAATGTCCGGTAATACCTCAAACTAAAGCCTGAGTAAATTGGAAAAACAAAAAGATAAGATTTTTATTCCGAAAACAGACTTAATCTATTTTTATTTTATGTTTTTTGTCGTCGATTTAACTTAGTTAAAGATAGAAAATCCAAACTTTTATGATGAACATTCATTGGAAATGTAAAACCATCCCTGACAGCTTTGAATGGTAACGTTTATAATATTGTACCGCTGTATTACAAATGTATATTATCTCTTGTGTAACCACCAATCAATAAAGTAACATTACATAAAATAATATCACTGTTGTTTTTTATTGTACCATAATCACTATTTTACGGCTTTCAATTGTAGTATTATCACTGTAAACATTAAAATATTTTGTACTGCGTTCTATTACCAATGGAACCTGTATAAATCTTTTGCTTTTAAAGTACTACTAGATTCTCACCCGCACTTTGTGCGGGAATATTCGTTTTATATGTTGTAAACTATACTAGCTTTCGTATTGTGTCGTATATAATATGTTCTAAGATTAGATATGTATTGTTTTATTTTGTAAGTAGAATCGATTAGTTTGAAAAAGTATGATGGTTTCTTTAGTTTGAAGGTAGAGAATATTTAGGTGGTTTCTCTTCTTAGAACATGGTTTCTCTTCTCACGTCAGCACGAATGATTGAGATCGAGATTTAAAATTACTTGAATAAGAATGGTTTATAATATGGCCATGGTACTAAATCTCTATGTAATAGAACAAATTTAAAATAACTAAAAAAACCAAAACATAAATTGTAGGTGTAACCCCGAAGATTTGATCCAAAAAGCAAAACAATAGTACTTGAGACTCTCCATCGCTGAAGATTGATCAAACTCTTTAATCAGGTTCAAAAACTAA